ACTCAGGGACTCTGGATTTTCATGGGCCCTCCAGGTGATTCAGAGGACAGTTTGAGAATCACAACTCGAGAAAAAATTCCTGACTACATCACAGGCAGTGTAGAGTCCTGTCTGAGATTCTAGGACATACGCTGTCTGAGGGCAGGACCTTTGTTCTTCCAATGCCTGGAACACAGTAACCACTCGAAACAAAGTCAGCAGGTTCTTTGCTGTCGGCATGAACACACACCTGAAGAAACCAATCTGTTCAGCTCCTAAACCGGCACGTGCCGTGGGAAGCTAAAGCACTGTCGAGGTAAACACAGCTTAAGAAGTCACCATATGGCTAATGGGGGAAAGAAAAATAATGTATTTACTACCTCAAGCAGAAACCTGTCTCTCTGATCATGAATAAATTCATGGAGAGTCTTGTTTGTGTCTGCACCTTTAGAGAAAATGGAAACAGACTGGTTTACTTCATTGCCCTTCAAAGATGTACAGAATAAAGCTAAGCAATTAAATTAGTGTACACAGCATGTAGCTGGAATTTAATAAAATACTGTACCTTTGAATTAACTTTTTTCTTACCTCCTCAAGAGTTAATTTAAAGTAACTACCAGTTATTTTGTGTTCACCACGTTCCAGTAACTTTATCAAACACTCGGAATAAACCATTTCATTGCATCCCAATAATTCACTTACGGTGTATATTAATATCTCTACCTTCTAAAGCTCAGGTGTCAAGATGCTTGTCCAAGTTCACACAGTGAGTGAGTGACAGCACAAAACACCCTGAGTTTTACACATCCATAGCCTGCGCTACACTAAATAAGTCTGAAATGTTTCAAATCATCATGCCTGCCTAATCTAGGCATAGTCCTTCATCAAAATGTTTTGGGGGAATCGCAGTCCAAATGTTATTAATAGGAAAGAAGGAAAAAATGACAACTAGTTCTACCACCTCACAACAGTCAACACCTCCAGTTTCATGTCAAGGTTTCTTTACGGGCTATGGCAGGGCAGGTGGGGGGACGTGGGGAGCTGATAACAATGAGGACAAAAATGAAGGAAATGTTCTGAAACTGATTGTGGGGGTGATTGTACAACTCTTTCTGATGTGATAAACTTGAATTGTATGATGTGTGAAGTATATGCCAATAAAACTGTTGGGTGGGCAGGGGGAGTTTTCTTCACACTAGAATGGTACACACACTGTCAATAATGGAAACTGGTAAGATATAGTGTAAGATAAAGTTCTTCCTAAACATATAAAAAGAAGTAGAAATGAAATAAATATTTCCCAAATAATCAGTGAGTTCATATTGCAGAAGGAGGCTTGATGCTGTAGTTGGTTGAGTTTAGACTCAACCAAGTTGATTTAGATTCATCAAGTTGACGTTGAGTTGATTTAGACTCCAAGCAGTTGAATGTGAGAGGGTAGAACTGCCCCTTGGGGTTTTCTAGGATGTAAGGGAGGAGCCCTGGTAGCACAGTGAGTTACTTATTGAACTGTTAACCACAAGGTCAGTAGTTCAAACCCACCAGCCTTTCACGGGAGAAATAGGCGAGTGTCTATTCCTGTAAAGACTTCAAATCTTGGAAACCCAAGGGCTCAGAACTGACTCAATGATGAGTTAGCTGAGTTAATTAATGTTTGCAGGAGCGTCTCGCAAGCTCTTTCTGCCTTGGAGTAGTTAAGTGGGTGAACTGCTGGTTTTCAGTTAACAGTCCCGTGCTCAACTCTTGTAGCACCAGGGTATAGTGACTATGGAACTTGGCACAAAGAATCTTAATCAAAATGTAGACAAGCTATTTGGGCAATATTATCTCCCTACCAGTGAGACTGCAGTCTTCTGAGGTCATACCCTGCCTCCACCTTTTCACAGCTGAGGAAACTTGAATTCATAATCTACTCTCTCTAAGTCTGTCTCCTCATCTGATGGTGGCTGATTGAAGATACTAATTGTGGTTGATTACAGTATTGTTTCCAGACATCCACTGGCCCTCTCGGAGAGAGGATGCGCTCCCCCACTCACCTGATCTCAGGTACTTCGGTCTGGAGGGAGCCAGTGAAATAAGAATCAATAAACTCCACATTGCTGCCAAGCAGCTGCTTTCAGAACAACCGTAAGGTTCTCATTCTCTGGCATCATTCTAGGCACACCCCAGGCAAGGGACAAAAAATAAACCCGTTGTATGGCATTGAAACTCAGGAGTGGCTTCTTACCACAGCGTAAGTTTGGCTAGTTCGTGGCCTATCATTTATTCCCTTTTCATATACTGTTTACACTCATATCTAAGTTGAATTTTTCAGCACATTTTTAATGCAGTTTGGGGGGTAAAATTAGGTGCCTCGGCTGACGTTCGGGTCGGCTTGTACTCGAGAATATATGGTACACACAATTCTTGTGTGGTATATACAACTACTCGGTCTTCAAAATATGTTCACATGGTTTCCTTTTTGCCTCCTTCATCATTGGATCTGAAGATCTAAGTGGTTTTCTTGCTCTCTGAAGATTCCAGCCCCTGCCCGTCAATATTTGGGAACGTGTGTTATCTTTGGGAGCCAGAGAAATGTCTTTAAAGCTCTTAACAGCAAATCCAAGACACTTAATATAGCTCCCCTCCCCCTCCTTCCTTTTCCCTCCCTCCCTCCTTTCCCAACTTCTTTTCCTTTCCTTCTTCTCCTTTTTTTTTAATTAAAAAAAAAGGGAAAATTCCTTTGGGGGAAGATTGAATGCCTTTATCATCCCAACACCAATCACGTTAACCTCGTTAGAGCCACTACACTTTCTAGCTCCTTTATGAGCACTGCCTGACCTCTTAGTAGGTGGCGTCCACCACCCGTTGCCCACTGTCACAGAGCATCCAACACTGGCTTGAAGTATCCTACAGAACGCCTCTGAAAGTCATCACAACCAGGTGGTGTGTTTGGAACCACAGGCCAACTTAGGGACTTTTCTAAGGTTGTCTGGTTTTTACTTCTTCTGGATTCTGGGTAGAGGAATTCTGCAGCATGGGCAATCAGGGTTTTTCTATATTTAGGACATGCCTAGGTTTATTCATCATCTAGAACTGACTACATTCTATTTATGTTTGCCAACAACTTCAATGCCATTCTCATTTTGGTGGTGCTTTCTCCCTTAGGTGGAGTCCTGGTCTTGTAGCTGGTTGTGCTGTGAGCTGCTTACCCACAAGATCAGCAGTTCAAACCCACCAGTGGCTCTGAGAGAGAAAGAGGAGTCTCCCTGCTCTTGTAAAGAGTCACAGCCTGAAACCCTGGGGGGAAGTCCTACCCTGTTCGATAAGGCTGCTAGAAGTCAGAATTGAGCGGGCGTCAGTGAGTTTTCTAGTTTTCTTCCTGAGGGCCATGAAAAAGGGCAACTGTTGATTTTTTGGGAAATGGGTGTTTTTCTCTAAAATAGATTCGCTCCCAAGCTTCAAAGTGTCTGCAGAGACCCTCAGCGCTCAGTTGTGAGACGCATACTTCCCATCCTCAAAAGGCCTCAAACCGGACACTCCCACTAGAAATCCAAAACAATGTCCCTGCAAGCAGTAAAGGAGACTCACCTTCTGTTAACCTGAGAATAAGCTTGGGATCGAGTCCGAAGTTTTCAGGCGCGGTGCCTCCATCAGCATAAAAAGCTATTTGGCCCAGGTGTGAACGACTCTTCATTCGGGACGAAAAAGTCGACTTCTGATGCACTTTCATGCTGCGGCTCATAAATTTCTCCTGTCCAAGTGGGGAAAAAATTTCTTAGATATCCAAATAATGTTGTCTTAAAATATACATCCCGTATAAACGATCTTTTGCAATAAGCCCTTTTCTCCCTGGTCAGATGATGACTAATATAGTAAACAACCCCAAGTTCTTATCTTTGAAGGACTATTGGTTAGCTTCCCTTCCCGCCTGATGAAACCGAGCAAAAACCATGTAAATGAACTGCTGTTAGGCAAGTACGTCCCCTCGATGAGCTTATAAAATGTCCCGGTTCTAGCATCGCCATTTTGCCACACCCCCAATGCAGAGGCACACCTGGAAATGCCACGGACTTAAAAGGGTTGATTCTGTGGAATCAGAAACTTAGAAACGGACCTTCAATAGGGTTATAAAACAATTAGGCTTCCCATTTGATTAATCCTCAACAAAACTGAACAACACGTGCCGATGAATCCATCGTTAAGCCTTTCTATATATTTTCCTCATTCTAATTAGTGGGCAGGGGCTGTGACAGTGGAGTCAAACTTCACAATGGTGAGGATGGGGCGGGATCGGACACTCTTTCATTCTGTTGTACACCGGCTGCTGGGAGTCAGAATGGGCTCAACGGCGCCCCACAACAGTGAGGACAAAGAGGGTCTCCTAGTTAGCCTCTCCCTCTGAGAGGAAAGAAAGGGACCCTCATGAAATGTGACCCAGGCAGTCAAAGGTCTGATCATGTAAGTAAGGAGCTTCTGGCAGGGACAAGGGGAAATGGGCCTCAATGGTGAGTGTCCCCTGACTCATTCTAAAAGCAGCATTCCCCTCCCTTCTCTTCACAGGCATACGTGTTCCCTTAGCCATCCACATCCACATCCCCACCGTCTCAGCCTGGCAAAATTTGACTTATTCTTTAAACACTTTAAAACATTTTATTATGGTCTATCTATCTCGAGACATTGGCCATGTCCACATTTTTTACATAAACCAACAGTGACCGTAGGTTTCGAATGTGCTGCCATCACCCCTCTCCTCTTCTGTCCACCCCGACCCTCCACCCCTCACTCATAAGAGAAGCTCAGTGCCCTGTCAGCCACGAGTCCTTGCTCCTGGTCAGCGCTGCACATAGGCTGCGCTCTCCATACTGTGCCCATTCTGGGCATTTCCTGTGAGTGAGGTCGCAGATCTCTGCCCTTTCGTGACTGGCTCTACGGAATTCAGCTCTGTTAGCTCATAATGAAGCCTGTGCGTGCCCACGTGACACCCCACCACGGCCGCCAGCATCTTCTCCCCAACTAAGGCGAGGGTCCCTTTCTCTGTTTCTTTCGCATGCCTTTCTGACACAGCGCACCGAATCTAAGGTGCACAGTTGTTAGATGCACGATGGCTTTATGTACTGCCCATTCTACCCACTCGGGGCAGGCCGGATCCCAATTTTGAAATTGTGAAACAGCATCGGCATTAGAATAAAAAATAGAGCTCTCCCACCGAGGGGTACTGTTGGGGGTTGTCCGTCTTCCCCCATTAGAGGGGGGTCGATCCCTGCGATCCTGACCCCATGGACTGGATGCGCGCCTTAGACATCAGTATCTGACTCCGTGGTTCAAACCCAGCGGAGTTCACCGCAGTGATGCGATTCGAATGAAGGGGAACTGTTCGTTTCATGAAACACCTTACCCTTTTCCTCTCTGCCATCTCGTTTTCTTTGAAAAGGAAGAGATCTTTGAAAAAGATCCTGTACGGCTTGACCTTTTTGGTGGGGTCATCTTTCGATCCATCTTTCGCGTCATCTTTCAAGCCGTCGGCTGAAAACGGAAGGACAGAGGCACAAGCAACGCTTCTGGAATCCCGCGGGTGTCGATCGGGGCGGAGAGGCTGCCCTCAGTCAGGGCGGAGGAGGGGGAGAGTGACCTCCGGAGATGGGGGCCTGGACTCCCTCCGCAAGGGAAGCCCCAACTCCTCTGCCCTCTGCACTTCAGGACGGACCAGCCAATATTGTTTAATAACTAATTCAGTAGGTCTTTGGCAGAATAATGGGTTGCCCTGGGATAGTGAGGGATTGCTTCTTTGTATATAAAGATACTGTCCTGCTAGGGGTTCCGGAAACCCGCCTGGGGACAGTCGGCGTGTGGAAGAGCATTCCCAATGGGGCCGGGACAGAGGCCCCAAAGGAGGGCTTGGGTCTACTATCCCATACTACCAATCCCAGGCCAGGCAGGTCCCCAAGGCCCCAGACTGGGGCCTGTACATCACCCTCTGGTGGACTGGACTGGACACTCCTCCCCAACCAATGTGCATGCCTCTCCAAACAAATCCTACAACTTCCACCTTAGCTCACCACCAGCAGGCTTGACATTTTGCAGGCCCGTGTTTAAGAGTCCAAACTAACGAAGTGTAAATCTCTAAGTGGCCTGGAATTGACAAGATGATGTCTTTTTCTCCATCCAAGCAGATTTAGGGGCTTTGAAGTCATGATCATTTTTTAGTTAGAAAGAAATTTTAAAAATTAAACTTCGGAACATAATTTCCTGACATCTAAACTCATTACAGGTACTAGCAAACCCTCCTGCCCACCCCACACCCCACAAAGCTCATTGGATTCCACTATTCCCCGAAGCCTCCTGCCTTACCAAAGGCTCTCATTCTGCCCAGGGCTCAGCCTCTCTCTAGCACTGCACTTTTGCAACATGGGGTCTTCTTAGGCCTGCACATCAGTCGACCAGTAGGAACTGGGCTGCTTCAGCTCTCTCCCCCTTTAGTTACAACTACACTCTTCTTTAAACTGTAATTAACCGCCAAAGGCGCAACCTGTCTCTCCCCTGCCTCCTGCTCACTGAATTCGTCTCCTTACGAATTACTTCAAGCTCAGTGACTTCCGACAACACTGTTTCCTATCTTAAAGTTCTGGAGAGCTAGAGTCTGAAGTGAGTCTCAGGAAGCTAAAATCAAGATTCCATTCCTTCTGGACGCCCCAGCAGACAACCTGTTCTCTCTGCTTCCACTGTCACATTTCCTTCTTCTTTCCCTTGTAGAATGGTCCTCGAGATTAGGTGGGATCTATCCAGATATTCCAGGATAATCCACCTATTTCAAATTCAAACCCAACCCAAGCTCGCTGCCATCAGGTCATTTCCACCAGAGCGACCCTATAGAACAAGGTAGAACTGCCCCCTGTGGGTTTTCAGGACTGTAACTCTTTATGGGGGGGAAAGTCTGGAGGTTTTGTTGGTGGTGGTTTTGACCTATTGACCTTGCAGTTAGCAGCCTGACCTGTAGTCACTGTGTCACCAGGGCTCCTTACCTATCTCCTGGCTTTACCAATGTGCTTAGTTTAAGGACCCATCAGAAGACCCTTAAATAACTTGGCAAAGCCTCTTTTGCCGTATTCACAGCTTCTAGGGATTAGAATGTGGACTTCGGTTTTGTTTTTTCCTCTTTAAAGTCACGGCTGTAGGGTTGACTCAGACTCTTCGTGACTTTTAGGAGGCTGGTATGACAGTGGTTACTCGCTGAACAAGTCAGCAGTTCGAGCCCCCCAGTTGACCCAATGTCAAAAGATGTGGCAGCCTCTCTCCATAGATATTTACAGCCTTGGACACCCTATGGGCCAGTTCAATTCTGTCCTACAGAGTTGCAATGTATGAACACCTTTTGTGGGACATTATTCGGTCTGCCATCCTCCCCAAATCTTACTTTCTTCTCAGCTTTGCCTCTTGCTGCTCCTGTTTGCCTGGACCTAACTCTCGCCTCCTTTCTCCCGTCTCTTTCTCTCCCTTCTTCCTTGCCTCTCTCCATCCAACAAATGCCCCTTGAGTTCCTACTATACGCCCGGCACTGATGATACCATGCTCTCATCCACAAAGATCTCTGCTCCTATGGGTTTTATGTTGGAGTAGGGGCAGAGTCAAAAGGCTGGTACAAGAGAATAAAATATCACCATCATAAACTAACTTTGATCATATTTTTTAAATGATAAGGTTCCCTGCGGAGAATTTTGAAAACTCTTAACTTCGAAAGACCTTACTGCATTACACTTAGGGTGTCCCATTCTCCTTTAGTTACTCTCCTCACCCACCTTGCAACCCCACAGAACGGGGCACACAGCAAGACCTCATTAGTCAGTGTGTTCTTACCTTCAAAAGTATGGATGAGTGGCATCAAACTGGATGACATTTTGGCTTCTGGCCCTGTCCAAGGAAAAAGAAATACATTTTTGAAAATTCCACAAGCACTCTATGTTGTTGTTAGTTACTATGTGTGCAGGCTAGTGAATGAGGCACTTACTTTGGCCACAAAATCTAAGGGGTTCCCCCCCAAAACCCTTCACTTATCACGATCAACCCAAGCACACGTTTTTAATGTAGAAAAATGTTTCATTTTCAAAGCCCGACAGCATCTCACATCAGGATGGCCAGGTCTCATGCATGCTGCTGTGGAGTAACATCAAGTCTTATGTATGGC